ACCAGATACAAACTTTTCTCTCTTCGATACTTCCCAGATCATGTCCTTATCACCTCCTTATCTCTCTTTAATGCTTCACAACCCATCTCTGTGTCAAGTTTTCATTGGCCCCCCAACAAAAGATTGTATGAACCACATTTAGCAATGATCAATCTCCATAAAACAGTGAAGAGTAGAGACATCACACTGGCAACGCAGATCCAAATAGTTAAAGCAATTCCCCATAGTAACCTATGGATGTGAGAGCTGGACTATAAGGAAGGCTGAGTGAAGGAAGATTGACATTTTTGAGTTGTGGTGCTGGAGCAAAATTCTGAGAGTGCCTTGGACCGCAAGAAGATTCAACCAGTCCATACTCCAGGAAATAAAGCCCGACTGCTCACTGGAGGGAAGGATAATAGAGGCAAAGATGAAGTACTTTGGCCACATCATGAAAAGACAGGAAAGCTTGGAGAAGACAATGATGCTGGGGAAAATGGAAGGAAAAAGGAAGAGGGGCAGACCAAGGGCAAGATGGATGAATGGTATCCTTGAAGTGACTGGCTTGACTTTGAAGGAGCCGGGGGTGACAACAGCCAACAGGGAGCTCTGGCGTGGGCTGGTCCATGAGGTCACAAAGAGTTGGAAGTGACTGAACAACAAACCACCCCAAATTTCACTGCCATTTGGTGGAGAGACATGACACCAATAAAACCTTAACTGGTATGCAGGTTGGAGACTGTAAACATGTGGTTTGGGTAAATCAACTTTTCTTTCATCAACAATTTTCCTTGAAAATCTTCCCATGCTATAATTAATCCACCAACACTTAACAGACACTCAAAATTTGGGAAAATAGATTTCAGAAGCTGGGGAACAGATTTGGTGCTCAGGCTGCACAACCCTACCAATAGCTTATCAATAGCTTACCAAGTTCCCTAAGATAAAATAGTGTTTCCAATAACATTACCCAAACTATAGAAGTTATGGGGCAAAACATTCCTCTTTAAATGTAGATTGGCCTTCCCTTTATCAAGTATAACTAGCCGCAGCTACTATATGAGACTGCAAAGCAAAAGAGAAACTAGATTAATCCATTTCCTCTGCTGAGAGATTAGCAGTTTTTCACTCTCATGTATACTGTAGAATCAATACAGTTTGACACCACTTTAACTACCATGGCTCAATGCTGTGGAATCATGGCAAGTGATGTTTTACAAGGTCTTTAGTTTTCTCTGCCAAAGTGTGCTGATGCCTCACCAAATTCCAAATGCTGTTGAACCATAGTTGTTAAAGTGGTGTCAAATTGAATTAAATCTACAGTACAGATCCATTCTGATCAGGGAAGCCACGGCCTTCTGTTTACAAGACTTGGTGACAAGGTGACTTGTTCGTCTTGTTGCAGCAAATTTTTGAATTACAAAAAGCCTCAAAATATAGGAAATCAACCAGCCTTTAATTTTAGCATTCTGCCTTGACAGATTGAAAAAAACAGCTTTCTCCTCACTGTGTTTTCTTTTCTGAATGGGATCCCTTAGATCATGTAGTCTTACTTACTTTTTTACCAAACAGAAATGTAACACTGCAGCACTATCAGTCTATTCATAAGGTCATCATATCTTGAAGTCAACTCGATGTCAGTTCATAACAACCTGAAATGTTCCATTCCAGCTGATTGTGATAGGAAATGTGTTTTCCAGAATTGGTGGCCGAGCCTGCTTTTTTCTTCCTCATTCCTCTTCCTTGCTGTTTGTGTGTCATACTTTTTAGATCTTGAGCTTAAGGGCAGAGAGTATCTTACTTGTGAACTTGAATGTTAAAATATTTATCTTTATTTTAAGGTGGTTTACATTAAAATGCCTTATTTTTTAACAGATATCCATTTGCACTTTGATCCAAGCACTTTGCAAATCTGCTATGGTATGTACCATTTAGATGAGAGCTTTTCAAACTGTGTGTTGTGACATCTTAGTGAATCAGCTGCACTGTGTAAGTATGTTGGGCAAATATAACAAGACTCCTCAGAGTCTATGGAAAAGAAGCAATAAATCATACATTTTAAAAGGAAATGTTTCCATGAGATAGGTTGTGTCCTCCCACATTTCTTTATCACAATTGATGTATGTGTCTGTACCTCTTATGAGGAGTTAGTGTAACCTCCAGTTTACTAAGAAAACTGAATTGAAATGTTTGGAAAGCTCTGGTTTAGATCACGGTGGGCAACACACAGACTATTTCAAATGATAAAGAACAACAAACCAGAAATGGCTGGATGGATCTCATTTTTGAAAGAAAAAATGAGTATTTTTTAAAGCTTCCCTGATGAATTCACCTTTTCCCAGAAGAGCCATCCAAGGTCCTGGAGCGAGTAAAGGAGCCATAATAAAGCTTAGGGGCTCCTCGCAGTCCAAAGGATGTGCTTTGCTTAAGATAGTCATTAACTTTTGGGAGCCTTAAAGCAAACTAAAGCAAACAAATAAGGTATGAAGATTAAGATTGCTTAGCCTCTTTGTGTCTTGGAGCTCTTCCTGTGACGTGGATTTTGAAGGAAAGACTGTCCATACCAGTTTCAAACAATGTTGACCTACTTTCTTCAAGGTCTTGTTGTCTCTTCTAGAATTAGATGGGCTAAGAGTCGACGTAGTGGAATCATGGGATTTGTACTTTGAATCAATGTAGTTTGACACTACTTTAACTTCTGTGATTAAATGCTATGGAATCATTAGATTTGTAGTATGGTGAGGCACTAGCACCCTTTGGCAGAGAAGGCTGAAGATCTAATAAAACTACATCTCCCATAGCATTGAGCCATTGCAGTTAAACTGCATTCTTTCTGCAGTGTAGATGTATCTGTAGTTTCGTTCTTTTTTGTTTTGCCACTGAGGGGAATAGGGGCAACACAAATATCTGATGAACATCTAAACTTTTGCACCAAGGACTCAAGAGGTGACGGACTATTAAGAATAATTCAAAGGCTATTTAGAGTTCGCACACTTTAAATGTCAATCCCTATTGTTTTAGTGTGAGAGACTGAAGCGCCTCACCTGGGAGGATAGTATACTAAAGTTTTCTTTTCAGGCAGGCTTTTAAGGAAGAATGTTTTGAAGAATGGACCAGAGATGCTGTGTTGTATGTAGTTTAATAGATTTTTGAATGGTTTGATTGATCTTAACTACATATTTTAATACCTCTATATGTATATTGAAACTTGTGTGCCAGCTGCGCTCATATCTTGGGAAGTCAGACTTGGCCACAGTGGTCCATGCTGTTGTTACATCTTGAAAAGACTACTGTAACATACTCTTAAGTGTGGCTGCCTTTGAAGACTGTTTGGAAGCAGCCAGATTCCTCACTGGGGCGACATACAGGGAGCATACAATCCCCGTAACATCAGCTCCACTGGTTGCCAATCTGCTACCGAGCATAATTCAAAGTGCTGGCTTTGGCCTATAAAGCTCTAAATGGCTCCAGTCCAACTTACCTGTCTGAATGTATCTCCCTCTATGAACTGGTTAGAGAGCTAAAACCTGTTCTTGGTCCCACCCACATTGCAAGTGCGTCTGGTGGGGACGAGAGTCAGGGCCTTCTCAGTAGTGGCCCCTCAGTTATGGAACTTCCTCTCTAGAGATATCAGATTGGCCCCCTCCTTCCTGGTGTTCAGGAAAAAAGTGAAAACCTGGTTATGGGATTGGCTAGGCGTTGGATTTTTGGGCTATATGGCCATGTTCAAGAAGCATTCTCTCCTGACGTTTCACCTGCATCTATGGCAAGCATCCTCTGAGGTTGTGAGGTCAGGAGAGAATGCTTCTAGAACATGGCCATACAGCCTGTAAAACCTACAACAACCCATTGATTCCAGCCATGAAAACCTTCGACAATTCAATAATAATTTAGACCAATTCTCACTCCAGGGGTGTTTCTACACTTCCTGGTGGACAGGAGATACTCCATTTCCCTGAAAGAAAGAAAAAGACTTAACTGGAAAAGAAACCCTAGGGTGTTTGTAATATAACCCATACCCCCGTTTATTTATTTATTTGTGTCAGGAGCGACTTGAGAAACAGCAAGTCGCTTCCGGTGTGAGAGAAATGGCTGTCTGTAAGGACGTTGCCCAGTGGACACCCGGATGTTTTGATGTTTTACCATCCTTGTGGGGGGCTTCTCTCATGGCCCTGCATGGGGAGCTGGAACTGACAGAGGGAGCTCTTCCACGCTCTCCCTAGATTCGAACCTCTGAACTGTTAGCCTTCAGTCCTGCCGGCCCCAAAATAAATCCCAGTTTTAGTGTGAGAGACTGATGATCGAACCAGATGATCAAACCGGATTATATGAGCCTACACTTCCAGATAGTCCGGTTCAAAGCAGATAATCTGGATTTTATATGGCAATGTAGAAGGGGCCTGAGGCTGTGAGGAATGGTGGGAGTTGGAAGTCCAAAACACCTGGAGGGCCCAAGTTGGCCCATACCTGATCTACAGTTAATAAGGGTGGAATTAATCAGGATTTGACATCACTTTAACTGCCATGGAATCCTGGGAGTTGTAGTTTTACAAGGTCAGTAGCTTTCTCTGCCTCACCAAACTACAACTCCATGATTGCATAGCATTTTAGGCTGGGAAGCTAAAATGGTGTCAAAATGCATTAATTCTACAGTGTAGGTGCACCCTCGGTAAAGTAATTGTGGGCTAGTAACTCATCCTAAGTGCAAATCACTCTATCATTCAACTGGGTTGGATTTAGGAAACCCAACGCCACGCCTCTTGGAGGAGAAAGTGACGTCAGCGACAAAAACAACCACCATTTCTAATCCCGGCTCCAGACATGCGCATTGCCGTCGGGCCGTCTCGCAATTGTTTTTCCCCCTTCTCCCCCTGCACTTGCTCACAATGGTTTCTCCGCCTCCCTCACGGCGTCTTCTGATTGGTGGAAGTAGTCAGAGGACCAGGAGAAACCATAGCGGGCGGGGAGGAACCAAATAGACGCGCACCACGTGACGGCGCGCGCTCCCGGCCGCCCAATCGGCGTCGAGGTGTGGGATTCAAATGGAGAGTTGCGCCAGGCGCGTCTGTTAACCGCGGAAGAGCGCTGGGCCGGTGAGGTGGTTTCGGCTGGGATAGAGGCTGCCTTCTTCTTCTTCGCCGCTATGTCTCACAAACAGATCTATTATTCGGACAAATACTACGACGAGAACTACGAGTACCGGTGAGAGAGAGAGAGGGGCTATTTCTCTTTGAGGAATTGTGGGTGTTGAAGGCCAAAACACCTGAAGGGCCGAGGTGGCCCACACTTGATCCTCACTGTAGAATGAATGTAGTTTGACACCACTATAACTGGCATGGCCCAAGTTTTTGGGCTCCTAGGATTTGTAGTTTGGCAGAGAAGGCTAAAGGCCTTGTAAAACTAACGGGGAGGTCCTTTTCTTTCCCTTCCTCCATTTTCAGCCTTGTAGTTAGGCAGTGATTATCAACCTGTGGGTCCCCAGATGTTTTGGCCTACAACTCCCAGAAATCCCAGCCACTTTACCAGCTGTTAGGATTTCTGGGAGTTGAAGGCCAAAACATTTGGGGACCCACAGGTTGAGAACCACTGAGTTAGAGCCTAGATACCTTAAGGCTCCAGATCCTGCCTGCTCTTGGAAGCTGAGCAGGGTCAGCCCTAGTTAGAGATTGGATGGGAGACATCAGGAAGAAGTTGGCAAACCCACCTCTTGAGTTCCCTTTGGTTAAGAAAACCCTATCTAGTGATTCCTGACATTTGGATCTCCTGTTTTGGATTTAAACTCCCAGAATCCTCAGCCAAGAGTTATGAATTCTGGGAGGAGAAGACCAAGACGTTGGAACATCATAGTTTGGAAAACACTGACCAGTGCAGTTAACTTGAAGGTGTGATATTCATGAACTGAAACTGGGGGGCTAAGATAAAAGATGGCGACTGGCCCAAATTGCCATTAATAAACTCCATGTATGAATTAATTGTGAGTGTGGATCACCCAGTATGAGAACAGCACTATCCACTCAAACACACTGGGCTTTTCATGTAGTTGAGACCCTTGTGTGTAAACTCCTTGCTGTCCTTATTGTGACTTCTGATTACCATGTTGCCACCCTAAAACCTGCAAATCATCTACACCAGAAGCAACTTGGCAGTTTCTCAAGTCACTCACACACACAAAATCTACCCAATAATCTTTCAAAGTATGGGTTAAGAGAAGGCTGAGAGGAGACATGATGGTCATGTATAAATATGTGAGGGGAAGTCATAGGGGGGAGAGAGCAAGTTTGTTTTCTGCTGCCTTGGAGACTAGGACACGGAACAATGGCTTCAAACTACAGGAAAGGAGATTCCACTTGAACATTAGGAACTTTGGACAGATATACAAAAGCAGTGGCTCTGGGGGGAGGGGAACATGGCGGTGAGGGATAGAAAATATGTATCAGCATAAAAACAACAGTAGATTGTATTGAATATTATGTGCCTGTTGTAAAACAAACGATGTATAACAAATCTATTGAATTACTTTTTTTTTAAAGAAAAAGGAAGATCTTCCTAACTGTGAGAGCTGTTCAGCAATGGAACTCTCTGCCCCAGAGTGTGGTAGAGGCTCCTTCTTTGAAGGCTTTTAAGCAGAGGCTGGATGGCCATCTGTTGGTGGTGCTTTGAATGCGATTTTCCTGCTTCTTGGCAGGGGGTTGGACTGGATGGCCTATAAGGTCTCTTCCAACTCTAGGATTCTATGATCAAATAATATAAATATTTCAAGATAGGCAAGCGGCAGTTTATAAACTTGATAGTGCAAGGTCCCCTTTTCTACCAAACATTGTATTGTCTGCAATTTTTTTTAAAAAAGGATTCGAAATAATTATTGCAATGTTTTGCCAATTATCATTTCATCAATATGAAACAATGATTGTTTTCAAAATGAAAGAAACATGACTCAATAACATTTCTGCCCCTGGTAGACATGTGATGCTGCCAAGAGAGCTCTCAAAACAAGTACCGAAAACTCATCTAATGACCGAAGAAGAATGGCGACGACTTGGAGTTCAACAGAGCCTTGGCTGGGTCCACTACATGATTCATGAACCAGGTAAAAGGATTCAACTGTACTGGGAAGGTGGGTGGGGATGATCTCTAAATAAGAATAGGAGAAGTTATGAACAAGTACAGGTTGTGTTGATTAACCTTGCATGCTTAAACTTAAAATATTGATGCAGTAATTAAACAATTTTTCTTGAATTGCTCTTTTGCCACATGTTAATCGTATTTGGGAAGTTTTGTGTTTAAGGGCACTGTATAAATGCTCTAAATAAACAAGGGCCTGTTCAAAAGAAACCACACTCACCTAGCTTATAGTTAATTTCTATCCTCCCAAGTCTAAAAGGGTTTTTTTCCCAATGGGGTTGCTGAGCATAAACTGAATATTGAATGAATTTATAGTTATGGCACTCTGTATATCCTTCAACACCTATTTGCCTGATTTTTAAATTGGAGCCTAATATTTGTGTACTTGGTTAATTTGCAATCACATTGTGTTTGTTTTGCATGCTTTTTAAGGGAGGCAGGACTACTCGGGATTGCCCCCCCCCCCAAGTCAAAATCTCCAGATCTAAATTCTCCTTGTTCAGAATACAAAATCAGTTTAGCGATTGCAGTGTTAAATGAATGAGCAGAGTAAGATGTATCAGATTGCAGTATTTGAACAGGCAGATGAAAGCTCCTTTGCTTTTCTTTTTGCAGAACCACACATCCTCCTTTTTAGAAGACCACTTCCAAAAGGCCAGCAGAAATGACTTCTCTCAACTTCTGGAATCTTTTGTAAAAATGTATATATGTTGGTAGTATTCAGTGAATACTTGAGAATGTACAAATACGTCATTACCTGTGCATGAGCTGTATTATTCACAGCAACAGAGCTCAGTAAAGTGCAAACGAAGTAGGCTGCTATGATCATAAACTCTTATTGTTAACAAGTGCCTATTTGATCTTGTCTATTTTGTTCAATAACGTTTATGACTTACATGTAATAAAAGTGTTGAGAGAAACTTTTCGAATATCTATTCCTTCTGTTAAGTGATATCTCCCTCAAGCTGTTGGAGCAATACTTGCAGTGGCTTTTCAACTGTTAAAGTAGGTCTGGAGAAATAAATCTGTTTTTAACATTGGATCTTTGTATGTATTCATGGTCTTGATTTACAGTCACCCGTATTGTGAGAGTATAAGAAAAGATGAATGCAATAAACTTAGCAGGTTGACATTTGACAGATTATTCCAGTGGTGGACTGATTAGCCCCGTATGAAACAATTATTAAGAAATCTGGTTCATCTAAACAATGGAGGCACGAGGTAAAGCTCACAAATAAGTATGCTGGGTTTTTTTGTAGAGTGTATGCAGCTAATAAAAACCAGTCAAGGAGTGGAGAAAGGGTGTATTGAAAACACTGAGGAATCAATATTAGTCATCCAGGTGTTCTGAATTGTTTCCAAAAGCCCCCCTTTCCAGCTGACACTGTGTTTAGGAATTGTGGGAGCTGAAGCCCCAAGCACTTGGAGGACCAGAGTTTGAGTACAACTGCATTAGAGATTTGTGATAACTAGAGTTGTAAACTTTAGAAGTTAACATTCCTAATTTTTTTGAAAAAACCATAGAATTAGAAGAGACCACAAGGGCCATCAATCAGTGAAGACTTCCTTTTTTCCCCTTGGTATTTTTGTCTTTCCAAGATGCAGTATCTAGATTAGCCACCTGGGAGAGCCAGAGCCTTTCCCTGAATTTGCAATGACTTACAAATATATCAATACAAGAGTTTCTGTAAGAGTAGAGCCCCTATTGCACTATTTTCTATGGCCTTCTGCATGTTGATCCATATTTTTATAGATAAACATTGAAAGCTGGGGCTGTCAATCGATGCCATTTACTGCTAAAAAGACTAAAGAACCCTAAAGTAAATCAAGTGTGATTACTCACTAGAAAACAAAAAAAATGATGCTGTTCTACTACAGATATGAGATGACATGACCTATTGGGAAAGCAGAAGAAAATACTTAAGGAAAAAATCAATCACGGAAGCTACAGCCCTGAGCAGGGCAATTAACTATAATCAAAGTTGAAGGCAGATAATAATTCAGTAAACCATGAGTCTTTCAGGGGTACCTGCCCCCCTCCCCCCAAGTACTTCAAAAGTTAGTGTAATTCACACTAATCTTATATCTGTCTTTTCAAGTCCTGGTCCATAAATCTTATGTTGAGGGATTAAAAAAACAGGAAAGGAAGGCTCTAAACTTCATCTTCATTGAACTTTTTCTACAGAAAAATAACAAATTATTGGCATTCCGAGGAGTAAGAAATGTTTGTTTTCTGTACAATATTTCTGTTGCTTGGTGGAAATTAAGACAATTACAACACAAAAGAAATGATTTTCTACCTTGTGTAGCTGAAACTATATATCTCACAAGAAATGTGACGTGCCTTTAGATAATAAATCAATGTGGTTTAGTATTTTATGTAAAGGACCAGTCAGGCTAATCTCCTTCATAACATTATTGTGAGGATATAATATGTGGAGGAAATAGCTCAGTGGAAGAAAGGTAAGAGCCCAGTAAAACTGAGCTCCAATATCTCTGAATTCATGCAGGTCAATCTAAAGCAGTGATTCTCAACCTGGAGTCCCCAGATATTTTTGGCCTTCAACTTCCAGAAATCCTAACAGCTGGTAATCTGGCTGCGATTTCTGGGAGTTGTTGGCCAAAAACATCTGGGGACCCCAGGTTGAGAATTACTGCTCTAAAGGAAATTGCTTGTGGACATTTTCTAAGCCACAAGCCTGGCCTAAGTGCCTCACTTCTGCTCCTACGTACACTTGCCTTCATCAGCACTTCCTTTGTGTTTTATAGATATTCCATGAACAAGGATGCAGAAATGGGTGTTACTCATCACCTAGAACAGACTTGCACAAGCGGTTGGGTGCGGCCCACAGAGTGCTGCCCACTCTGAGGAAGGGAAAAGGGAGGGAGAAAAGGAAGATAGGAAATTTGAAGGAATTAAGAAAGCATTGTGTGGTTTGAACCTCAGATTATGGCTCTGAACCCACTGGATGACTAGGCAAATCACATTCAGCCTCATAGAAAGACAAAGGTAAATCCCCATTGAAAAATCTTGACAATAAGTCAATATAGCAAATTGCTATAGGGTTGCCCTAAATCTGAAACGACTTGAAGGCATGCAAAAAATGATCCTAATAAATTAATCATTCATTCTATCTTACTTGGAAAGCGAGGCGCTAAAAACCTATTTGTGGCCCCAAGAGGCTTGGCCTATCTGATTTTGGCTCACTACTGACAAGTTGTGCAGGCCTGACATAGAAGCTTCTAGAGGTATTACTTTTCCTCAACATTGAGGCTTCAGTCAGCATATGTATAGAGAGGGAGGGGAAACACGTTTTAGTCAGGCACTAATGTAAGGGGAAGTGGGTCACAATGTACTGTTTGCTAAAATGCATGTGTTAAGTGGGTCAGCAACAATTTCCTTACCAAGAGGCACTGGTATTAAGGTTCACTGGACATATCTCATGTAGCAGTAGTGAAGCCAAAAGCACTTCTAACATCAAAATGCCTTTTTTTCCTTCAGCCTGAATTCATTGAGTTCTAAAAAACAGGCACTTCCTTCAGTTGTTCCTGCTTAAATTTGAGAGTGTATTTTTACAAGTAATACCCTATTGAAACAAAGATTTCCACTGGAAGTTCCTATAAAATTGCTATAGAACCTCTCTAGGATTTTGCTAGACCCTCCAATGTGGTAATATTTGGCGAAATCATTTCATAGAATCACCTGGAACACCTGGAGGACTGAGAAAATCCCTTGAAAGGGAGACATTAAAGGGATTTTGAGAGAAAACACCTTGAATAGTTTTCACTGAATCTTTTAATACCAATTAATTCTGCTTTAATATTTATATATTTTTAATGCTGTGCTAACATTTTCTTGTTAAGCCCGTTTGAGAAGATAAAGCCAGGTATAAATAAATATAATAATAATATCCTATAAGGACACAACCTACTTCAAAGATTTTCATCTGAAATCTTTGAAGTAGGATAGCATTTGTTTGGCAGTTCAGCCACAGGCCTCCGAAGATATCTCATTGACACTCCTTTTTCGTGTTTAGCATGTCATCAAAATTCTCACAAAACAGAAGGCAAGAGTTTCCTGGTCAAGGCTCCTGAGGATGATTTCTTCACAAAACCTATACTACTGGCTGTTAGGAGTTGTGGGAGTTGAAGTCCAAAACACCAGGAGGGTCGAAGTTTGCCCATGCCTGGTTTAAAGTCTTCTCTGCCAAGGAGTGCAAAGAACTACGACCCCCAGGGTTGCATAGCATTGCTCCATCGTGCTGTCAAGCTGCATTAATATGTGTTGTTGAGGGTTTTCATGGTGGGAATTACTGGGTTGCTGTGAGTTTTCCGGGCTGTATGGCCATTTCTAGAAGCATTCTCTCTTGATGTTTTGCCCATATCTATGGCAGGCATCCTCAGAGGTTGTGAGGTTTATTGGAAACTAGTCAAGTGAGGTTTATATATTGGTGGAATGTCTAGGGTCTGAGAAAGAACTATTATTATTATTATTATTATTATTATTATTATTATTATTATCTTTATTTGTACCCCGCTAGCATCTCCCGAAGGACTCGATGTGGCTTACGTAGGCCAAGGCCTCAAAACACAACACAACAATACAACACCTAAAGCAAATTAAAAACAGTTACAGCAATATTAACAACAAGCAATAAACAATAGATCAACAATACATAAAACTGGACCGGGCCAGAGTAACGGGTACAAGATTAAAAGTGCTGATGTGACAAGAGGTATGTAGGATTATAGGGTAAGTGCAGTGTGCAGCAATCTTAGTTCTACTAAAGTGCTTCTGGGACATGGTATTGGAGATTCCTAATCTGGAAAGGCACATCGGAACAGCCAGGTCTTCAAGTTCTTTCTAAAGACTGCCAATGTAGGGGCCTGTCTAAGATCTTTTGGGAGGGTGTTCCAGAGTCAGGGGGCCACCACAGAAAAGGCCCTGTCTCGTGTCCCCACCAAGCGTGCCTGCGACGCAGGCGGAATCACGAGCAGGGCCTCTCCGGATGAGCGAAGTGAACGTGTGGGTTCGTAGACGGAGATGCAGTCACGCAGGTAGGATGGTCCCAAACCATTTAGGGCTTTGTAGGTAAGCACCTGCACCTTAATTTGGGCTCGGAAAATAAACGGCAGCCAGTGGAGCTCCTTGAACAAGAGGGTTGACCTCTCTCTATAAGGAGCCCCAGTTAACATCCTGGCTGCTGCCCATTGGACCAGTTGGAATTTCCGAGCCGTTTTCAAGGGCAGCCCCACGTAGAGTGCATTACAGTAATCCAATCTAGAGGTGACCAAGGCATGGACCACCCCGGCCAGATCAGCCTTTGCGAGGTACGGTCGCAGCTGGCACACGAGTCTCAATTGTGCAAAAGCCCTCCCAGACACCGCCGACGCCTGAGCATCAAGCGTGAGCGATGAATCCAAGAGGACTCCCAGACTGCGGACCTGTGGCTTCAGGGGGAGTGTAACCCCATTCAACACAGGTTCCCACCCTATACCCTGATCCGGTTTGCGATCGACCAGGAGGACCTCTGTCTTGTCAGGATTGATCTTCAGCTTGTTCCTCCTCATCCAGATAGACACAGCAGCCAGGCACTTGTCCAGCACCCGAGAGGCTGGTTGAGGCAAATAGCTTTGCAGTTTCAAATCAGGACAGTAAATAAAGAACAACACTCAGAAAACAGGGGAGTCCCAGACAAGAATCAATCAGGGGCAGCTAACACCTCCCAACATAGGATTTCCACAGGCAGGAAGCAGCCAGGCTTTGAAGCTGCAAGGCCATTAAATGCTAATCATGGTGGCAAATTGCGACATTCACACTTGCCTCGAGCAGACAAGAGTTCTTTCTCCCACCCTGGACGTTCCACAGCTAGATAAACCTCACTTGCCTAGTTTCCAACAGACCTCACAACCTCTGAAGATGCCTGCCATAGCTGTGGGCGAAACGTCAGGAGAGAACGCTTCTGGAACACGACCATACAGCCCGGAAGACTCTCAGCAACCCGCATTAATAATGCTCCAGTCCAGGGTTTCCTGCCTG